AGAATATACTGGCTCGGCGGGATTAGCAGAGCTCAATCACTGCCCCAATTGGCAGCAGGGCGACTACGCACTGTAGTTACGGCGCAATCAGGGAGTGAAACGGAGACTGTATCTTCCGGCGAGTACAAGGAGGAAGCTATGGATCGAGCAAGGTATCACCGGAGTGGACTTCACCTCACTGATTGACGGGTGAACACGAACTGCCCTGCTGATTCGCATACAAATCCATATCCATATACATTTATTGAGAGAAGAAGGGAAAGTGGATAAAGTGGGGAAGAGCAGAATCTAATCGTGAAAATGAAGATATATTCAAAGGGGAAACGAATTGAATGCTATCCTCTGATTGTATTCAGTCGCAGCTTGCGGAAGCTGCGAGGGGAGAAGCGTTTGGTTTAACGCAAAAAAGTGCTCTATCATAAATTTGGATGCCCTTTAATGGCGTCTCATTTACTAGTAATTAAAAATAAAAATAAAAGAAATACCGTACTAAAGAAAATACATTAGAGACAAGAAATTCATAGCTTTGGACTCGGTGCGACTTTGGGGCATTGGAAATTGGTGTAAGAGCACTTCCCCGGGCTTCAAACCGGGACTTCAAACTTTCTCTCTCTGCCACGTCAGTTTTAACTTACACTCAAAATTCACTGGAAATGGGTTTGAAGCCCCGGGGCTTCAAACTTTCATTTTTTACATTTTTAAATATACATCTTCTAAAATTAAATTAATAAAATGTACTTAATTTATTATTTAATTAAATTGAAACACGAATAATAAAAAAACACATTAATTAAATAAAAAAAGCGACAATAATTTAAAAAAAAGATACATTAATAAAAAAAACTAAGGTAAATTATATTTCTCCTTGATCTCTCTCATTCTTTGCTCGTAGATAATTCGTCCAAACTCCGACAACGTCCCGGGGTCGGTTTGCATGACTTTCATCTCGGCCTCCTGCTCCTTTAGCTTCAACTCCTTCTCTTTAAGCTTCAACCTCTCTTGTTCATGGAGATTGAACGCCCGAAGTTGTTCAATCATTGTCCGGCCGATTTCATCGCGGGGAAAAGCGGAAACAGAGGCGGACCCTCCCGAACCAGAGGCAATGGATTTTGCCTTCTTTCTTCCGATCGGCTGTGGAATGGGGTCCTCGTCATCGAAAGCCGCAACGTTGAAGGGAGGGATTTGATCGGTAGAACTGATAGTCTCGTCGACCTCAACCTCGGCGGCGCCGGTGGATCTTTTCCGCAATGATCCGCCGTCAGGATTGTTGAGTTGTTGCCACTTCGGGGAACGACTCAAAATCTTCCAAAGATCGATGGGCACCTTGCCTTGGTTTCGTCTTGATACCGGGTCGTGGCAAGCCGGAGAACATCGGCGTCGTTCGTGTCGCTCCTCCGGGACCGGGAGCATTCCTCGTAAACTCCCATAAACTTTCGGACTTTTTTGTTGATGTGGCACCATTTGGAAGTGAGTTGGTCCCGGGTTCGGTAGGAGCCGTCCTTCTTCATCGCCGTGAAGAACTTCTCCTCGATACGATCCCACATCGCATCCTTCGTTTGCTCCGTACCTTTAAAAATGTATTACACAATTTTTTAGACACCATTAAATATAATATATATAAATAAAAACATAAATATGTTAGAAAAAATAAATTTTTTACCAATGATAGGATGCTCGGAGACGTCAACCCAAGCCGACGCCAATATGCACTCCTCCTCCGGCGACCACTTTTTGATTGACCGTGCCGCCTCGGTCAACGTGCTTTTGGCTTTGTGACTTTTCCGGCGTGTACTTTTTTTCGATGCAGACAGTTCCGGTTGAGTCTCTGGAACCGAATCTCGGTCGACGTACCCCGATTGTTGCGTCTCATTGATCGGCGGTCGATCGCCCCACTCTTGGTAGAACCACATCCCGGCGTCACTTGGCAGGAGATCGTCGGGAAAGAAGCCGGAGCCGGAAGGATTCATGTTGAAAATTGGGAGGGGGGTTTGAATTTCGAAATTTAAAAATAATAAAGAAGAAGAGATTGAAGAGAAGGTGTGAGAGATTGGTTTGGGGGGGTTGAATTTATAGGAAAAATTTTTTTTTTTTTTGAAATGTGGGCTGCAACGGCTAAAAAAGCCGTTAGGAGGGAGGGGAGAAGACTCACGCTGCGTCATTCGTTTGACGCAGGGCTCCTCACGCCCCTTTAACGCCGGCGGGGGGCGGTGTTTCACGCCCCCAGGGCGTTAAACGCCCCGTAACACCGGTGGGCGTGAGGAGTATACCCAGTGCTCTAAGGTCGGGGGCGTCAACCGGCTTTTAACGTTGGGTGTTAAACACAGCTCTCTTGGCGGCGTTATGGAGCGTCACTTCCCTTGAGTCAAACCTTTGACGTTGCGTTGCCTCTTTCTGTTGGCGTAGCCCCCCCCCCCCACGGCTAAAATAGTCATTAAAACAAAAAAGATCTTATAAAACAATTTTCTTATAAATTCTTTAAAAATCTTCTCTCGCATCTCTCTATCATATCTCTATCTCTCTATAATTCTTTCAAATATTATTCTATTTATTTAATTATTTCTACAAAATATTTTAAAAATAGGATCATCTTCATCTGATGAAGAAAAGTGTGCTCTCATTTTTCACTGTTTCGCCACGGCTTGTTATCAATGGTGGCAACAAGGAGAAAAAGGAAGAAGCAGAATCCTCCCGACGCCGACCCGACGTCAACGTTTTAACCGGGATTGGGCAGCTACGCACGCTTCACTTCTCAACGACTACTTCAATACTCTGTGTGTTTATACACCGGAGGATTTTAGTAATTGTTTTCAGATGAGTCGTCCTCTCTTTTTAAACATACTCGCCGATATTGAACGTGAGGTGTCTTGGTTTACCCAACACTTTGATGCGAGAGGTCGACGTTGGTTTAGTAGTGTCTAGAAGTGCAGTGCCATGCTTCGTTAGATGGTGTACGGGCCGACATCTGATATGTTCGACTAATACCTGAAGATGTTGGCTGGGAGCATCAGATCATGTGTTTATAAATTTTCTAGAGCTATTATTCGAATTTATCATAAAAGATATTTACGTAAAGAGATCATCTTACGTAGCACTCTAACTCATCTAATACTACGCATTTAGCACTGCTTATTGTTTTTTACCAAATTAGCTATTTATGTTGTCAATCTCTTCCAATCATACCTAGACCTGGCAATCGGGTCAATCGGTTCGGTTCCAGTTCGGGTCTTTTCGGTTCAGGTCTCTTTCGGATATATGTTATAATCGGTTCGGGTCGGTTCGGTTCGGGTCAGTTCGGTTCCGGCTTTATTTCAGGTTTGATTGGTTTTCGGTTTCGGTTCAGGTTTGTATCAGTTCGGGTTTGTATCGATTCGGGTTTATATCGGTTCGAGTTTATATTGGTTCAGGTTTATATCAATTCGGGTTTGTATCGGTTCGAGTTATATCGGTTCAGATTTGTATCAATTCGGGTTGTACCATGAAAAAGATTGTTATGAAATGTGTTACTCAATATGGTAGCTATAAATATATGGGCAGTACAGATTGATCATGTTATGCAAACACTTTTTGGAGTGAACTTGTCTTCTATATATAATGTGGCAGACAATAGTGAAAATATGACAGTGTATAAAAGTTCGCGACCTAAACAAATTTGTATGTACTTCATTAACTTCCATTAATAATATGGCAGTGAAATTAGACATACATATAAAACTGCCAATATTATGAATTATGAATTGAGTTTTATATTGTGCAAAAGCCATGTGCTTCATTCTATGACTATTGGGTTTGAACATTCAAGAGTTTGTTATGGAAATGTGTTACTGAATTGGGGCTGATATTTTTTTGATAGTGTGGAATAATCAACTTCTAGCTTTACTTTTTAGAAATGTCGTGTGCCCATGTTTGCCTAGTGTGTTTTGGTCAAATGGGATTTATATCTAAAAACCCAATGTAATAAATTATTCATTCATTGGAAGCGGATACAAAAAAGTCACCAAAATGACTAGTGCTTGAATAACTTTAATAAACAAAGTATGAAGTGTAAGCTCAAATATTTTTGGTAGTGTGGAATACTTGTGATCTAGGTATACTTTTTTGCAGTGTGTTATGTCCTATGTTTTTGGTCGATGTGCTATGTTGCACAATTTTACATAATGTTGCAGTGTATGCTGCTTACAAAGTCTTAAAATTTACAACATAATACCTTCATTATCTATTTATTTTTAGTACCACATAAATGAAATACAACATAGGTCTAATACTAACATCTTCTAACATTATACAAAATCAAGAAAGACCAAAAAAAGCCAAAACCATGTTTGGCCAGTGTGTTTTGGTGTAAAAGATTATTCATGAAATCAGTCATACATTTTTGGGCAATGTGATATTCATAAATGAAAATAATCATATACATTTTTGGCAGTGTGAAATTCATACATGAAAATAGTATGGAATTCATACATAAAAAGAGCTATACATTTTTTGGGCAGTGTGGAATTCATACATGAAAATAATCCTACATTTTTTGACAATGTAGAATTAATACATGAAATCACTGCCACATAATCAATGGACATTACACTACAACATGAAATTAAGGAACATAATAATACATTTGCACACTGCCGTAAGATATAACAACATATATCCATTCTACACCGCTACATTAAAAAATCACATATAAAAACCACACTACCCACTACACAATTACGAGTGAACAACCATACTGCCCAAAACAATCATATTTTTTAGCAGTAAATAATAAATATTTTCTGTTTAATTAAAGAACAAAATCGGAATCACAGAAATATATAGCATTGTTATTTAGAGTATTTTAATATTTTTAGAGTGCTATTTTGGTTTTTTTTCCAAAAAAAATCACTCACCACTATTATAGACCAATCAATTATAGTGGCCCACCACTATTTCCATTTTCCCAAAAAAATCACCAACCTTTTCTTATCTTCGAAATTGAAAATCAGGCACTGGTAACTAGGAGACAATGACGGTGGCTGGAATTATGCGCGGCGGCCTAGGAAGATATCAGCGGCAGTGGCTCTCACAATCTGGGCGGCAGCAGCTACTTACGATCCGAACGGCAGCAACTGCTCGCGGCTGAGCAGCTGCAGCGGCGCTCTCCTCGAACCAGCGGCGTCAACTGAGGAAGGCGGCGACTCCTCAACGCGGCGGCGGCGGCGGCAGATCTCCTCTGCGCGCGGCTAGCGGCGGCTGGACGGACCAGATCTGCATCTCTCCGCACGGCTGACGGCGGTTCTGGGTTGCGCGACTGATGGCGGCAGCGGCGAGTCTCCTACTGCCGCTGCTCCTGCCCGATCTGATCGTCGTCCCTCCAACAAACACTTATCAACCTGGCGGCGGCGATTCTGGGCTTGTGACTCACTCCCTGCTGCGGGCCTGCGGCTCTCCCGATTCAAGCGCGGCAGGCGGCAGCACTCTGTGGATCGACGGGGATGGTAGTGCTCCGGCGGCAGCAGCCCAATTACCGGCTCCTGTGCTACTGCACCCGGTTCTTAGGTGACACTCCTCTCTCTAATTAGTTTCTGCTGATCAGATTTCCGGTGTGTTAACGAGCCAAAGCTCCTATACCACTTGTTGGGAATAAACGCACGCGGAAACAACACACAATCACGAATCAACTGTAGAAAAAATAAATGGCACAAGATTTAACGTGATTCAGTCGCCAACTGCAACCTACGTTCACACGGAGCAACTAAGAGGATTTTATTTCATTTTTGTTGCACCACAATTACAAGCAGATTAACATTTCTTAAATAGAGATTAATTAGGAGAGCACAATGATTAGGAATATTGAAGCTTCCAGGTAGTTTCCTGCCAATTTCTTGTTGGCTTCCTAGCTTCACACTCAACATTTGTGCTGTCGCCCAGAAATCTTTCATGAAATTTATGCTTCAACTCATAAAAAAATCGGAAAATAAATCGGAGGATGAAAAAAAGGGTGCAATATACTCTGTAGTAGCAGTACATCGTCCTGCCTTGTTCCCCGGCCCTCTCTCCTTAAAAAAAAGTCATTCAAAACATTTTGTTCCTCTTGCAGGTGCAATGTCTTCATCTGTTCATCATCTCCCTTCAGAGGAAAGAAGAGAGCAGGTAAAGAACCCATGGCTGCCAAACCAGTGAGACGGGCACCGGATCTCCCAATCCATGCAAACGTGAATTTCAAATGGAGCAGAGACCTCTTCTTGAGTGTCATAAGGATGCAAGTCGCAGGTACATATTATCTCTAAATCAACAGGATTAAACTTAGGTTATCTTCGTAAAATAGAATTCATTTTAAATTTCATGATTTTAGATTCTAAATGTTGTTTGGAGAGCATGGAATTTCAATCTTAAAATTTAAATTTTGATTTCGGCCAAGACAGGGATAAAAGCATGTGGTGGATAAGTATGAAATTTTTACTGAATAAATGAAGATAATTTTTTATTGTAACCTTTAAAAAATAAAGGAAATTTAAGTTTTTTGTAAATAAAAAGGTGAAGATTTGTAATTGACTTTGTTTTCAATTAAAAGAATTTGATTAAGTCTAAATCTAATTTTTTTCATTCCTAACTAAGTAATTTGGTTCAAAATTTAAATCATTCGCTTCCAAACATAACCTTTTGTAAATAATTCCTGAAAATTGTTGAACAATTTCCTTGTTACATTTCATATGTTGTATCATTAGATTCGTGTGCTTAAAATTTGAAAGTATCTCGAGTTTCACTCATTGACTAGCTGGAATAATGCTCCTTATTTTATGCTTTCTCCCTTAACCAAAAAATTTTTTTCTTTCATTTTTTTCTCTTGCACTAAAATACTTCCACTTTTTATTAAAAATCACTTTTACTCATACTTTTTCTTACTCTATCAATCACATCATACTTTTTCTCTAATGATCTATCCATCACACCTTACTTTTACTATCACATCAAGAGAAAAATTAGTAGTGAACTACGGAGTACAATTTAAGACTTCCTTAATTTTGCCTTTGGTCAAAATGAGAAGACTTTTTTCCAAATAGAGGGAGTACTGAATATGCTCCCTCCACCCCGAATCTTGTTCGTCCATCCTAATTTTTCAAGTTAAATTTAACAAACCTTAATTGTTATGGAAAAGTTAGACTTTCCTACCAATAATATGTAAAAAAAATCAAAAGATAAAAATTGAATATTGATTTTGTTCTTTTTTATCACAATATTGGTCATATTCGAACACGTATGTATTTAAACTTGAGTGGAGTGGTGGATGGCACATTCTTTGAATTATATTTGAACATTCTGTTCACGGGTATCAATTATTTCTATTAGAAAAACTCTTAAAAGCAATAATTTAGGCAAAGAATCTAAAAAGAGGGATAGTAATATCACAAATTACTATATTTAAAGATTTAATCCAATATTTTATATCAAGATAAAGATTCAATCCATCAAAAACTAGTGAACACGTTCTGTTTTACAAATTTTTTCAATCATAGCTAGAAAATCACGTGTAATTTTTGCACACACAGATGGGAGGCTGCTCAAGATTCATCAAATCATCCCAGAATTTCATCTTCTCATAATATTTCATTATGATAAGATTCTTCTACTTACATTATGATAATCCTCGTTTTAATTGTTGAACCTTAGGTCAATTAATAATAGAAAAACGAGCCTTCAAGCCATTCCATGGGTCTAAGGCCTTCTCCACGAATGAGATGCTTGATCTCAAAGTTTGATCGATAGTGTTTCTGTTACGGGACTATTATTATTATTATTATTATTATGGTAAGAAATTATTTATAGTTAGTTAACTATTATTAGGAAATATTATATTTGTTTGGTGATTAATTAGTTTCCTAGTTTATTTAGTTACCTTTTATAATTAGGATTATTAATTATTTAGTCACCATTTATTATTGAGATTCTCTAGAGTTGGAGCCTATAAATGTATCCATCACCATAGTTTTATCAATCAATGAATAAAGAAAATACTTTTCCCTAAACCCTAATCTCTTCCTCTTCCCTCTCGTTCTTCTATTCTGCCGAACAAAGTGTCGTGCAATTCTCTCTTTTCTTCCTTTTCCCCAATTCCATAGCTCGAAGGTGCTAATCCTTCCCTATTCCGATACGTTATCGTATCAATTGGTGCTCTCATTCTTGAACTCGCCCAAAAAATACACAAAAAAAATCTACGACACATGCAATGTATTCTCTGTAGGACAAAGTTCTTGGTTTATTTGAGAAAGTTCTACGGGGACAAATTGAATTTTATGAAGGCGTGTGTGCAGTTGAAGATTCCATGGATGAAATTATAAAGAAACTTCAGGCATTCCGTCCAATTGAAGGTCAACCAAAATTTGATTCCGAGGTATATGCGTTCTTCGTAGAGGCCTTTTACTCAATACAAGATTTAGTTCGTGGTCTCCCAATTATGCCAAGCCTGATTCCTATAGAGTTATACATTTTCAAAACAACCATGATGCGCTCTATTAAGAAACTCATCGGCACTCCACGAGATTCGGTCTGTACCTGTGCAAAACACAATTTTACAGGACCAGGAATTTAAAAAGGAAGTTTTTATTGATCTTGTTGGTGTTCCTGATGAGGATCTTATGATAGATCCCATAGATGTTGTTCATGTTGCCATTGTTGATGTTGTTGTTGATGGTTTTGGTGACGATCAACGAGACCACACTATCCAAACAAAATATTCAAGCAATGGTATTATTTTTTATGGATGCACAGAAACATTTGGGATGTCAGAAAGTGACGTTGTTGTCCTTTATGATTCTAGGGATGTTACGCGTGTTGGCAAGATTTTCTTCTCATTGGTTCTCTGGAGTTGTTTGCTAGGAGTTGTGAATGCTTTGAGCTTGGCCGAATCTTTTGATGCTCCATTCATAAAGGTCTTTGACCCCGGAGGATGTCCGTTCAGAACGCATGATTCTTCGTTTTTTCTAGATTTCCAACTTGAGAACAAGTTGGTTTTCGAGGCGGGGAGAGTGTTACGGGACTATTATTATTATTATTATTATTATTATTATTATTATTATTATTATTATTATTATGGTAAGAAATTATTTATAGTTAGTTAACTATTATTAGGAAATATTATATTTGTTAGGTGATTAATTAGTTTCCTAGTTTATTTAGTTACCTTTTATAATTAGGATTATTAATTATTTAGTCACCATTTATTATTGAGATTCTCTAGAGTTGGAGCCTATAAATGTATTCATCACCATAGTTTTATCAATCAATGAATAAAGAAAATACTTTTCTCTAAACCCTAATCTCTTCCTCTTCCCTCTCGTTCTTCTATTCCGCCGAACAAAGTGTCGTGCAATTCTCTCTTTTCTTCCTTTTCCCCAATTCCATAGCTCGAAGGTGCTAATCCTTCCCTATCCCGATACGTTATCGTATCAGTTTCAGATCCACGAGATCAAGAGCAAGCCACCAATCATGTAGGTCATCAGATTCTGGAATTCTAGGTCATCAGATTCAGAATCAGATTCAGAATCTGGAATTCCAATTGAACCATCAATAAATCCAAATGTCTTGCATGCTTGAATAGCAAGACAACAATTTAGACCATTAATAGCACATGCAACAGTAGCTACGACATTTGTTGGCTTAAATCAGGACTATGCCGCATCTACGTCGGCCTCCCATTTTTGCATGTATCCTCTAAGTCACCACATATATTCCAAAATCTTTTCATCAGCCTAACAAATAATTCCAATTTTGGAAGTTAACCTCTCTCATGAAATCCGAAAACACAAGTCACAGATCCACCTCATTACCATTCATAACAAATTACAACGACCCTCTTCTCTCTAATCTACACTTCTTTTTCATCATCATCATCATCATCATGTTCTTCTTCTGATTCTTAATATTGCCTTTCATTATCACCAAATCTCATAATCACCATCCCACCAAATCCAATTGTTGCTACACTTCTTTTTCTCTTCTCTACTATCAGTGAAACCCAAAGCAAAACCAAACAAAAACAAAACAAAGAGAGGAAATAAAGGAAGAGGAAGAAATACCCTCTAATAACCCACCCTCCTAGAAAAAATAAAAGATTCCAACAATTGAGGAAAGATTGCTCCTTTGTATCCTATCCAAGAAATTCGGAGATAAAAAGTAGCTGCGATAAAAAAGAAAATCTTCAATCAAACAAGTAGCTTTGATAGCCTTCTTTCTTTTTTATGACTTGCTACTAGCGCACGTCAGACTTCCCCCTCTTCTCAAAGTATGAATGCATTCAACTTGCTATAGTCGATGATGTGCCTCTCCGCTTCTGACTCTCTTCTAACATTGAAATGAATTCTAGTTAAAATTGGTCTTCAACCTTCACCTTTCTCAGTGTTTCTAGTAGACTTGTGCAAACAAGAGTAGGCCCGTCCGGCCCGCGTAGCCCGCCCTTTAAAAAGGCGGATATGGACAACATTGCCCAAGCTTGAATTGTATTTGGGTGGATTTGGAAGTTACTTTTAGCCCACACGGACCAACAAGCCCGCCCATATTCATCAAATACATTTACTTTATTATTAATTACCTAGTTAATATAAATTTTAAAATTTTCAACAATTCATGTATAATAGTTCAATTCACTCACCTCTCTTAAACAAAAATCAATAGTCTTTTAATGAATCTGTATGATGGGTTTATTATTTATGCAATAATACCTTTATAATGCTTTGTATGTAAATGTGGTGACTGTGATTTTACTTTGAACATTGAAAAAAGAGTTCAATGTTTTTCTTTAAACTTTTTGTGCAAAAAAGATTTTCTTGATGTTTTATTTGGCCGGGCAGCCCGGTGGGTAGTTTGGCCTGCTAAAGTGGGCGAGTAAGGGTAAAGAGCCCATGAAATCTGGGCCGGGCTGGGCCAGGCCTACCCATGTAAATGGGCTAATAATTTGTATCAAGCCTGACCGAGATCCTTATTTGTACAGTTCTAGTTTCTAGTTCCTAGTGTGCACTTCATTTTGCTTCTGCCAACTTGGCTTGAGGATATGTTAGCAAATAATAATAATAGTATTAATTATGGTAGTATTTGTTTATTAGTTAGCTTATACTATTGAGCTTATTCCTACTTGTGTAAGAAATCTTTCTTATATATATTCTATTGTATCCTCCATTATTTTTGAGTAAAATGTATTATTCTACTATTCCATGTTATATTTTCAAAATATATAGATTTTTTACTTTAATATTTAAAGTTTAATAGATTAAATCAAATTTAACTTTGACCAATCATTTGAAATCAAAATTTGAACTTTATTTGTTAGTTATAAAGGTAGTATTTAAGATTTAATCTTAATCTTTCTCAGAGAAATATTTGGTTTTGCCACACTTCTCAAATACCTGTAATTACATATAGAGTTTAGATCATAACACATTGGATATATGGTGTTTATTGTATAACTAGTTTATACACTCTTATAGGTTAATGTGCAAATTTATTTCTTTGTACATACTTAGAACATGTTCATTATGAAGTTTATATATGAATATATGCACATCCAGTAATTGTATATAGCCTTATATCATTCTTGCTTGTGTCCACTTTGGTGCTTTATATTGATTGTGCTTGAGCCATAGCTTAAAAACAATCTCTCTCTTTTCGTATAAGGGCGAGGTTTGTATAAGACACCTTCCTCAGACCCCACATTTTGGGGTATTTTGCCATGTTTGTTATTTGTGTTTAATATTCTTTCTTTGCAAAATGAACTCTTCATTAAGTCAATAATAACACTTCCAATATGTGAAATGATAAAAACGAAATTTTATAATTAGTGTTAATGAATTTTTGAATTGTTTTTTTCCTTCACATGCCAAAACATGAACATTAATAAATCAATGCATGCACACTTGGGGATGAAACCCCCAGGATCCCGGGACCCATGGTCCTTTATGTAATTTTTTATAATCTTTCCAGCCTATAAAGATTTTTTTGTTCGTGTTTACACAACAAAAGAAATGTTTTGAAAAGTAAAGGTGTGTAAGTAGAATTTATTTAAAAGAAAAAGTTTTGAAGATCACATATTTTTTACATTTAAAAGAAAAAGTATATGTGAATTTTTTGGAACATCAAAGTAAGGAAAGTATGTTCTTAATGGGGGAGAGGGTCCAGGGTGTGTGGGTGTGTGTTTATGAGGAAATATATTCTTACATTAATTTCAAAACCAACCATATTTTTTGCTATATTGTTTTCACCCAAAACTGGTTGTAGGATTAAAAGTTTATGCTATGGAACACCAAACATGGTGATGTTTATTGTTTCTGATCTTATTTTAGTTTCATAGTTGATGATAGCAAGTAGGTGGTGTCTTGTTTTATTCATTTTCTTTTACTTTTCTTGGTCGTGAGCTTAATCTATTGCATACGCTTGCACGTCAAGCTAAGTTTTAGTGTGATATTTTGGAGTCTAGCCCCCCCCCCCCAACTTAATTGCTTAAAGCATCAGTCAGTTTCGGTTCAAAACCAAAAAAACGAACTTAATTTTTAATCAATATTTACCAACCGAATCGAACCAAACCGCTTTATATGGAAAACTGAAATAACCAAAATCGAGTAAACCGACGTCTTTCTATCGGGTTTTAAGAACCGATTAGAATTTGAGCCTGCATATTTCAATGGCGTCCAACAGTCCCCTCCAAGTAGTTCTGAGACACACTGCTTCCAACGCTAACCATCGTAGTGGCCAGCCCAATCTCAGCCCTCCATAACCACTCCCTGAATTTTGAACCTCGCCTCCCTAGGCTGGTCCTGATTTGGATCTGAACTTGGACCAACTAGATGAGAGTGTTCTTCAATGGAGCGGCGGTGGATTGGTGGAAGATGCTCTCCTTTCAAAGACTCGGCTAAAAATGTTAGAAAATAAATGGTCACCTTAATGGATGTGTGGAATTGAGTTAGGGCTGCAACTAAATGTGAGAAAGAAAAATGCTAGTTATTTGGAAAGATTTCAAAATTGACCTGGGCTAACAAACTTTTAAAAAACATAGGAAGTATATTAAATTTGGGTTTAATTTGTAACTGTTTACGATATATATGGGCTTATATTTTGGTTTTTTAGTCAAGTTGGGTTTTCAAAGCCTATAACCAATAACCAATTGAATTAACCAAATTAACCGACCATTTTAACTGGTCGGTTCGGTTAAAATGCTCCCCCTATTTCTCATTTGATTGTTAATTAATAAAAGTTTTGTTTGCCTCCAAAAAAAAGCTTGTACCTAATGTAAAGTTCTGCTACTCAGATTAATCGGGCACATCTTAGAATTTCGCTGGGCTCACTGTATCGCAGGGCTCATTTAAGTGCTCTACAATATCCAAGTGGAGGCATTTAATAGAGTTTCTCTCTCTGTCCAAAAGCTGATAAATTGTGTGAAAAAAAACAGAACCAGAAGAATAAGACGCCCGAGACTATTGGTAGACTGGAGAAGACAGTAAAATGAATTAAAAAAACATGATAAGCAAGGAAAGCGATTATTCATACATTGGGACCCCCCCCGAAACTGTGAAGACAAAAGATAGGTACAAAATAAAAAGGCTAACAGTATGATGCCTCAATCTCCTTATCATTTATCAACTGATCAAATAATATCTAAATAGTACAACTAACTTCATTCAATAATTACAGCCCTAGAACATAAACTAAAGATTTAAATATGTGTATATCTGCTATAGCATAGGCTATATGATTCAAGAAAAGATTTTAATATTTGTAAAGGTCTAACGAGTGGTCTCATAACCTATTCCTTTTAACCTTATGTACTAACTTTTATTCACCAAACTTCAAAAATAAATTACAAGAACAAAGACAACTCAACTAAGCAATAAACATTAATGTTTTTATCTTGTGATTTACATAACTTTTGATTGGGAATTTAGCAGTAGCTATGGCCTCCTCTTTAAGCTCCCTGTGATGCATCTTTCCATTTCTTTTTTAAATGTAATAATAGGGAGCAACCCAAGTAGTTAGGGAAACATCTCTCTTACATCTTGGTATAAAAGTCTGTATGCTCTGTCCCATTTCCTTTAGAGTATTTCCTTTACCATTAATCCTCAACCAATCAAATAGGGCACTATAGCTAGACCTATATAGCAAAACACAATTTAGGAAGAGATGTGTTTGATCCTCATCAAAACTATTGCACAAAGAAGATTTCATATCAATGTGAAGAAACCTTTTAAGTCTCACATTGGTTTGGAGGCTTTTCTTCATGAGCATTCACATAATAAATTGAAATTTAGGTGGTATCATTTTGCACCAGATCCACTTAACCCAGGGGGGAATCTCCTTATTACCCAGGTACCATCTATAACCTCTTTGTATGATGTATTCTTCATTTCTTGGCATACTGGAGAAATCTTCTCTTACTTTGATCATGTTCCTCCAATAAAAACAATAGTTAGGCTTAGAAATATAATCCCAAAAAGTTGTGCCTCTGAAATGCCTGTTGTGTATCCATTAAACCCACATGATGTCTTTTTTCTTTTCTATACTTCAATTAAGATTCATGATGGAGGCCTTATTCCAACCAGTCATATTATGTAGCCTTAGACCTCCAAAATGTTTTTGGCAGACAAACATCCTCCCATCAGATTAGTGGAATCCTTTTGTAACCAGAGCTGGCACTTAGGCACTCTATAGATAGTTCATGTATATAGCTTGAACTCTTTTTATTCAAAGATTTATAATTCCTAACAAAAAACGCTGATCAATTTAACTGTCCCTATATAGGAAAGGTGTTTAAAGCTCCAGGTTGAGATCTTGGCTGTCAGTTTTTCAATTAGTCGTTCACAATCTTTTGTACTTAACTTGTAAGCTGTTATCGGCCCTCCGAGGTAAGGAGAAGGAAAGAACCCTAAGCCATCTTGGTCCTATCCAAAATAGAATCCTTCAATTATACATTAAGCCTTCCTGTTATACCAAGATGTAAGAGAGATGTTATTCTAGCTACTTGGGTTGCTCCCTGTTATTACATTTAAAAAGCAAGGAATGGAAAGATGCACCACTGGGAGCTTAAAGAGGAGGCTATAGCTATTGTTAAATTCCCAATCAAAAGTTATGTAAATCACAAGATAAAACAATGTTTATTGCTTAGTTGAGTTGTCTTTGTTCTTGTAATTTATTTTTGAAGTTGGTGAATAAAAGTTAGTACATAAGGTTAAAAGGAATAGGTTATGAGACCACTCGTTAGACCTATACAAATATTTAAATCTTTTCTTGAATGATATAGCCTATGCTATAACAGATATACACATATTTAAATCTTTAGTTTATGTTCTAGGGCTGTAATTATTTAATGAAGTTGGTTGTACTATTTGGATATTATTTGATCAGTTGGTAAATGATAAGGAGATTGAGGCATCATACTGTTAGCCTTTTTATTTTGTACCTGTCTTTTGTCTTCACAGTTTCGGGGGGTCCCAATGTATGGATAATCGCTTTCCCTTCTTATCATGTTTTTTTAATTCATTTTACTGCCTTCTCCAGTCTACCAATAGTCTCAGGCGTCTTATTCTTTTGGTTCTGTTTTTTCTTCACACAATTTATCAGCTCTTGGATGGAGAGAGAAACTCTATTAAATGCCTCCACTTAGATATTGTAGAGTACCTCAATGAGCCCTGTGATACAGTGAGCCGAGCAAAATTCTAGAATGTGCCCGATTAATAAATATCTTAGTAGCAGAACTTTACATGAAGTACAAGCTTTTTTTTGAAGGCAAACAAAACTTTTATTAATTAACAATCAAATGAGAAATAGGGGTGAGCATTTTAACCGAACCTACTAGGTAAAATGGTCGGTTAATTCGGTTGGTTATCGGTTATAGGCTTGAAAACCCGAACCGAGTGGAAAATCGAAATATAAGCCTATATATATTGTACACAGTTACAAATTAAACTCAAACTTAATATACTTCCTATGTTATTTGAAATCTTTCCAAATGACCAACATTTTTCTTTCTCACATTTAGTTAGCCCTAACTCCATTCCACACATCCATTAAGGTGACCATTTATTTTCTAACATTTTTTAGCGAGTCTTTGAATGGAGAGCATCTTCCACCAATCCACCGCCGCTCCATTGAAGAACAGTCTCATCTAGTTTGTCCAAGTTCAGATCCAATTCAGGACCAGCCTAGGGAGGCTAGGTTCAAAATTCAGGGAGTGGTTATGGAGGGCTGAGATTGGGCTGGCCACTATGGAGTTTAGCGTTGGAAGCAGTGTCTCAGAACTAGTTGAGGGAGGTGTTGGACGCCATTGAAGTATGCAGGCTCAAACTCTAATCGGTTCTGAAAACCCGACCAAAGGACGTTGGTTTACTCGGTTTTGGTTATTTCGATTTTCCATATATGGCGGTTCGATTCGGCTGGTAAATATTGATTAAGAATTAAGTTCATTTTTTTCAGTTTTGAACCGAAACTGACCGATGCTTTGAGCAATTAAGTTGGGGGGGNACAAACTGAAATCGCCATGTTCGGAGTTCCATAGCACAACCTTTTAATCCTGCAATTAGTTTTGAGTGAAACCAATATGAGCAAAAAATATGGTTGGTTTAGAAATTGATGTAAGGATAGATTTCCTCATACCACACATAGACACACACCCTTGACCCTCTCCCCCATTAAAAACATATTTTCCTTACTTTGATGTTCCAAAAAATTCATATACACTTTCTTTTAAATGTAAAAAGTATGTGATCTTCAAAACTTTTTTTCTTTTAAATAGATTCTACTCACACACACCTTTACGATTCAAAACATTTCTTTTGTTGTGTAAACACAAACAAAAAAATCTCTATAGGGTGGAAAGATTTTAAAAAATTACATAAAGGACAATGGGTCCCGAGATCCTGGGGGTTTCATACTTGGTTTTCCCAAGTGTGCATGCATTGATTTATTAATGTTCATGTTTTGGGTATGTGAAGGAAAAAACAATTCAAAAATTTCATTAACACTAATTATAAAATTTCAATTTTATCATTTCACATATTAAAAGTGTTATTATTGACTAAATGAAGAGTTCATTTTGCAAAGAAAGAGTATTAAACAAAGATAATGAACATGGAAAAATACCCTAAAATGTAGGGTCTGAGGAATGTGCATACACATACCTCACCCTTATACGAAGAGAGAAAGATTGTTTTTAAGCTATGGCTCAAGCACAATCAATATAAAGCACAAAAGTGGAGACAAGTAAGAATGATATGAGGGCTGTGCAATTACTGGATGTGCATATATTCATATATAAACTTCATAATGAACATGTTCTAAGTATGTACAAAGATATAAATTTGCATATTAACCTATAAGAGTGTATAAACTAGATATACAATAAACACCATATATCCAATGTCTAATGATCTAAATTCTATATGTAATTACAGGTATTTGAGAAGTGTGGCAAGACCAAATATTTCTCTGAGAAAGATTAAGATTAAATCTTAAATACTTTCTACGTTCTATAAAAGTGTTCTTATTTTGACTTTGTGTAAAAATAATGAAATGTTAAATTGTAGTTGACTTCCAATTTCGCCCTTGATGTGATGGGTAAAAGTAAGATGTGATAGATTGAGTATTAGAGAAAACGTATGATGTGATAGGTAGGGTATGAAAAAGTAAGGGTAAAAGTGGGTTTTTAATAGAAAGTGGAAGTGTTTTGTTGGAATTAAAAAAAATGAAAGAAGAAGAGTTTTTGAAAACGAAGGGAGTACTACCTTTTTACCTAACAAATAAACTTCAAATTTTGATTTAGAATGATTGGTCAAAGTTAAATTTGATTTAATCTATTAAACTTTAAATATTAAAGTAAAAAATCTATATATTTTGAAAATATAACATGGAATAGTAGAATAATACATTTTACTCAAAAATAATAGAGGATACAATAGAGTATACTCCGTATATAAGAAACATTTCTAACACAAGTAGGAATAAGCTCAATACTATAAGCTAACTAATAAACAAATACTACCATAATTAATACTATTATTATTATTTGCTAACATATCCTCAAGCCAAGATTGGCAGAAGCAAAATGAAGTTCAGACTCTTTCCTCAATTGTTGGAATCTTTTATTATTTTCTAGGAGGGTGGGTTATTAGAGGGTATTTCTTCCTCTCCCTTTATTTCATCTCTTTGTTTTGTTTTTGTTTGGTTTTGCTTTGGGTTTCACTAATAGTACAGAAGAGAAAAAGAAGTGTAGCAACGATTGGATTTGGTGGGATGGCGATTATGAGATTTGGTGATAATGAAAGGCGAGATTAAGAATCAGTAGAAGAACATTATGATGATGATGATGATGATGAAAAAGAAGTGTTGATTAGAGAAGAGGGTGGTTGTAAAAAAATTCGACATGTGGCAAGTCTTCTTGGCAATTTTTTTACAAATTATCTACCACCTTTGATGACTTTAATGACTTGCCAAAATCCTATTAGAGCAAACATTCATTTCCAATTGTAGCACGTATAAAACCATTACGTAGTACATGTAAAGTATTGAAAATTGAGAGGTTATTAATGTGTAATTATATACGGTGGGGTTCTAGTGAGACTGGAAAACTCAAAACGGTGCCTCTTTGGAGTACCTCCGGTGCTCCGTTCGTAGAATTGACGATTCCTACCTCCCTCTAACCCAACCCTAAACCACCCACCCAACCCCCACCCCTACACCCCCACCCCAACCCCGCCGTAACGCACCTCCGGTGCAATGCATGAGAAGCACACATTTTGTGGGGGGCTTACGGCGGGGTTGGGGTGGGGGTACGGTGGGGGGTATAGGCGGTGGGTTAGGGGGGTAGGAAGCGTCAATTTTACGAACAGAGCACCGGATGTGCCCCAAAAATGCAGTGGCACCGGAGTGACACCGTTCTCTGGTGGCACCGGAGTGACACCGTTCTCCGGTGTCACTAGAACCGGGCCGAATTATATATTGGCTAATCCTTGTTCCTATACTATACGATTTATGACTCCGACTCACATAATTATGACATGTGACGAGTCTATTTGGTACTCCGTATTTTTTAAGAACTCATCCACCACATATTTAGTACTCCCTCCGTCCCGGAGTGTTTGTCCACTTTCATTTTTGCACACCATCCAAGGCACTTCTTTAATCCATTTTATCATGTAATTTGTATATTAAAAAATTATAAAAATTATATATTAATAATCTATATGTTAAGACGAATCAAACAAGATCACACATGACTATTTTTAGGCTTACACATTGAGAGAATTTGATAAGTCAAAGTGCTTAGATGAACAGTTCCAAAATTCAAAAGTGGACAAACACTCAGGGACGGACCAAGTATTTTAAAGAGTTAACAATTTTTGTCTATATACATCGTAGTGATTTGATATTATTTTATTTTTTTAATGATTGTACATATTTGCCTAATTAAAAGTTTTTTTTTTGTGAGTCTCATACGGTTAATCTTAAAAATTAGTAACTCTATTCTTTTTTCACACTCTGGTTCAGTTTTTGAGTAATATGTTTGACCAATGAAGTTAGTAACTCTATTCTTTTTTAACACTCTGGTTCATTTGCTTACACCAGTTCATTTAGGGCAAATACGGAGTCCCATTTACAAAAATGACGGTTCCTATCTTCCTAAGACTCTACCTAAATCACCCACCCTAGCCCCACCCTACCTCCTACCCCAGCCCCCCTTTCACCCCCACCCTACCTTGGAAGTGGGGTTTAGGTGGTAGGAACGGTCATTTTTACAAAGGAGACACCACATGTGCCTCAAACGAATTAATGTAAGCAATTGGTGTATAAGTAACTGGTGTAGACTTTTTTCGACTAAAATTGGTTCACTTTCACCTCAAATTAACAAAAAAATAATATTATATACTGATACAAAATATAGTTTTATTAGATTTATTATATAAAATATTTTTAAAATATTATTTTATCTAAATAATACTCCCTCCATCCTATATCTTTCTTCCCGTTGCGCAAAACAAAGAAAAATCTCAAGTTTTTTCAATCTATTTTATTTAAATATTGGTATAGAAATAAAAAATAAAACATACATATTTAAAAACTACATCAAAAATTCAACAAAACAAGTGGTGACAAGAATATTTTATTTTATCATATAGGCAATAAAAAAACACAAATAAATATAAATTCCTGTGAAATTAGAATAGTGCTCTGGGAAGAAAGTTTGACGACGGAGGGAGCATAAAATATTTTTTTTAATTTAATTATAGGTCAAAGCATGAAAATAGTTGACCAATTTTTTTTTAAATATTTTAAAATATTTTAAAATATTTTATAAATATTTTTTTAATTTAATTACAAGTGAAAGAACAAAATTACTCCCTATTTGATGAGTATGGGTTTAGAATACAAAAATGTTATTGGTATACCAAATGGTGTACCCCATTTGTACCCGTGAAGCTATATGGTACAACCGGATGCACCTAGAGATAGGTATATCTAGGTAGTATTCATTCTGAAGTAGAATAGTACTCATTCTCGCAAAACATAATTATTCATTTGAAATAACGTGATACTCATTCTAAAATAACATAGCATTCATTCTGAAATAATGTAGTACCCATTTTCAGACATTTATTCAATACAATTATAATATTCATTCACAAATAACGTAATGTTCTTTCTGAATTAAAATAGTACTCATTCTCAAATAACTTAATGCTCATTCTCAAATAAAATAAAATGCATACCATAAATAACCTTCTCCTACGCGAACCAAACTAGGTTTTTATCCCCACGCCTCTCCTCCCTTCCACCGCGCCTTTCTTCCTCGATCTACCCGACCCGACCCGCTACAGCTTCTCCTTAGATCTTCCTTTTCCATCGTTTTCGCCAGATTTTCGCCACCATCGCTCCTCGTCATCTTCGCTGCTCCATCGTCTTCCGTCTTCGCAGCAGCGTCTTTCGTCTATGGTGGCTCGACACGGCAAATATAAGAGCGGCGATAATTCTGGCGGCTTCCGTTCCATCTCATTCATTCCTCAATTAATCGGTTGTACTGGAAATTCGGTACAACCAGATGTACGATATAATTTGCGATTTATACCCTGCTTAATGCCCACTATACTAAAGCAAGAGAGAAAAAAGGAATTAAAAACAAAAAAATGCATGGTGTACAAATGGGGTACACCATTGGATGTATAAGCATTCCTCCTTAGAGAATAATATGGTTCGGCCCAAACCAAGACGGGATATGCTAGGGGTACACCAAATGTGTACCCCAAATGTACACCACTCTCCTTTCTATCATTCATTTTATTTTGTTTTTATTTTTTATTTTTTTTAAATTTTTCTTGCTTTTTTTTGGGATGATGGAAGGGGTGAAGAATATTTGAGGTACACTTTTTTGGTGTACTTCCAACCAAGACCGGTTGAATAGGTAAACACGGGTTGCATTCTTGACGAACGGCTTACATATTTCTCGAACAGGGAAACCCTAACCACCCGTCGTCATTCTTCTCATCCCGAATCTACCGCTAAGGCGTGAGGGTTTTGAGATGTTGCCGGTTGACGAGGTACCGGAACCGCCTCTGAAGAAGGCGAAGCTCGACGACGGAGACGGAGACGAAGACGGTCATGAAGCAAATCTTGTCGAAGTCATTGAAAAGGGAGAGAGCGATAACGAGAGCTAGCACGAAAGCGACAGCGATTTTTCCGATCAGGAAGAGTGGACGGAGTTCCGACGCATCCGCAAGCAGATTAAGGAGAGCGATGTATGGATCTTACTATTTTTGCTCTCTTAATTGTTTCTCTTCATTGTCTTTCAATTGGCTAACAACCAAGCGATGGTATACACACACACATATTATTATTATTGTTATTATTGTTATTATTATTATTATTGTTGTTGTTGTTATTATTATTATTAGGGTTTTGATCTGGACATTGGTGAAACATTCGTATCAGTCCTAGGGATTAGGCCAATTGATTTTTCCAATGAAAGTCATCTAGCATTTATCGAAATGATGCAGATTTGTCTTGAAGAAACCGTGAAAAAAAACAATGAAGGGAGTTTGAAGGTTAGATCTTAGATAACCACTCTCTTATAAGCGCTTAAAAAATACTAGCCAATTTCAATTTTAAAGCTCTCCCTCAGTATGTTATTCTTTGGTTTCATCTTCCGTTCATGCTTTTTTGTTGTCAGTTTTTGAGCGATTTTCTGGGCAATCCAACGATCGTTTGTCAGTTTCTGGATGATAAATTGGCTGACCCAAAGATTCTTAAGGCTAACATTGGAAACTCGTCTCTGATCTACTACATCACATTTGAAGCAACGAGTACAAAGTATAATGGGCAGCGGAGAATCTACCAGGTAAAGTTGACGCGTGTACCCAACGACAAGACGGTGATCTTTATTCTTAGGGAAAAGCCTGGTCAATCGTAGGGAAAAAAGCAAGAATGTCCCGGCATAACAGGTTTTATCATTCCTTCCTTACCAAGCCTTTTTAAAGCACTCACATTGGACTTAGAAGGCCTCCTCTTGGCTGACTTCTCTTGCCCTTTCCCCAGAGAGGTTGATCACATGCCTACAATAAGGCCAGATATGATGGTGTTCATTATCCAGCTATAAATAGTGTTGTTAATCCCCATTTTGTAGGGATCCGAATTTCATATTCTGTATAGTGTTATAAGCTCTAAGTTTTATTGTTCATACTCCAAATTATTAATAACAATTGGACGGCAGGCGTTTCCATTTATAGTCTTTCCGGTGACTTGTGTGTTTATTTTTAAAAAATTGTTGTTGGGTACCTCATGTTTTTTTGGTAAGAACTATATGCTCACAGGTACCCTAAATTATTAAAAGACACTTACCCCGAGGAAATTTTCCTACCATTCTCCGTCTAACCCACTTTGTCAAGTTCATCATAAACATCATAATGACCACCATCCCCACCTCCGTTCTTCGTGCTCCTTTTCTTCTTTTTTTGCTTCTTCTTCTTCTCCTCCTCCTTCCAGTTCTGATCTTCCATATCCCCACCCCTCAACCTTATTTCTTTTTCTTCTCCTTCTATTAATAATAATAATAATTATTATTATTATTATTAATTAGTTGTTTTACTACTATATTTTTTTAAAAAGAATTGCACTAATGCTCCCACCAAAAATTGTATACTCCATTAATCAACCGGCAAGAAGAAGAAGAATAAAAAGAAAAAGAAAAAGAAGAGGAAGATAAAAGAAGACGGGATGGCAGTGATGATGATGATGATGATGATGATGATGAACTTGACGGAGAGATGGAGAATATAAAATATGGATGGAAAATCTTCTCTTGATTTTTTTTAAATTATATTTTACGGTACTTGAGAGTACATTTTGAAAACTGGAGGTACCCGGCAGTTTTTATCACAAAACAGGGTACCCAGTAGAAATTTTTTGGTTAATTTTGGTACATAATTTTGCTCATATGTTTCCTATGAATGGGTTATACACAAAAGGAGGGGTATACTCGGCTTCTTGGACAACATAGCAAAGTGCATTGGGGCCTTGGGGACATATAAGCTTATAGTTCTTAAACACAAATATACTCTCTGGCTTATGATGAAAGGTATGCTTCAAACAAAGCAAAGACTCTAGATTCTAAAGGAGAAGAAGAGGATATAAATCATTTTTTTTTGGGGCTGTAAAAACTTTCAACGGATTCTAAGCAAAACAATGCTCCCATTCCTCCCAATGGGTTGCTCCCCTTGAATAAATTGATTTGGAGGATTTTTGCTACAATAGTAGGGTAAAAACAATACTAGGAGCCAAAGGAGTATTTGCATTGCTGCCCGGCCGGGCAGCAGCAACCTATATGGTTTTAGAGACCAAATAGGAGTATTGAAGACGTACAACTTTTTCGAAGGACCAAAACCAAGATTGCATTGTGCATTCACTATACTTTTTTTTCGAATTAATGTATCACTAATAGTAGGCTTAAGGATACTGTAATATACTCGTAATAGAGTTTGTCTTTGCTTACTTAGAGCAGTGGAAATGTGTCTAACGCTGGGGGCGTCATCCGGCTTTTAAAGCTCGAGGAGCGTTAAACACTGCCCTTGACGCGTTAAACCAGTGTCAGCATAGCTGCGTGAAAAGTTTAACACCGAAATGGAAGAGAGAAGAGAACCGTCCCCCCCCCCCCCATGGCTATAATGTCATTGAATAATAAAAAAATAAAAACAAAAAACTTCTCTTCCTCTATAAATTCCTATTTTTTAAAATAAACACACACCACCGTCTCTCTCTCTCTCTCACTCAAATTTAAAGAAATTATTCTAGTTTTTCTCTTCTTTTTATCATGAATCCCTTCGGTTCCTTGTTTTAAATTTCTCTGTCCGATCTTGAGCTAAATGGGGACGTGATGTGGCTCTACCAGATGTACGGGAGTAATCCATCTTTGTTCGAAATGCAAACTTTGGTGAATCTCGAAAATTTAGAGTCGGTTCCGAAGACTAAACTGGAATCAAGTGTACCAAAAAAAGTCCACGTCAAAAGAGTCACAAACCAAAGGGCGATAAGCGGATGACTGACGGCCCATTCAAAGTGGATGCCGGAGGAAGAATCGTTATTGACGTTGGCTTGGGTTGACGTCTCGGAGCATCCTATCATTGTTAAATTTATATATTTTTTAAATATATATTGTATGGGAGTATATTAAAAGAAAGTTATAAAAGTTTGATATATATCAAAATTATATCTGAAAATAGATCAATTATATTAAATTTATATTCTAATTAATTTTTCCCATCTAAGGTCAGTATGGCAGAGTTAGACAAAACAAAGTCAAAATGTGCATTTTTGTGGTGTAATGTTGTGCAAGGAACCCAATTATATTGAATTTTATTTTATATTTTGAAATAGTTATCCTTTTAAATTAAGCTACTTGTACACCAAGGATGGTACCTCAAATTGTACAACATATAGGTGTACATCGACATTTTGTGATAGTGTGGTGCTAGTGTGATGGTTCACACTTGCACAAAATGCTAGTGCAAAATTTTTTGATCGTACTGTTATTTCGTACTAGTTTGATCTATCAAAATATCGGTGCCCACTGTGGTGTACAACTTGAGGTACACTCTTTGGTGTACTCCTGACATGGTTGTATCCTTTTAGCATATGCTCCTTTGTTTTTTTGGTGGTGTAGTGTGGTGTTTGTGTTCACAATTTGTTTTTATCATTTCAAAATGGGATCTACATCTAGTGTTAAAAGATTGTGTTAAATATAACATTTGTCAAAGAACATTCTTTTGTTTTCAATGTGTTGATGCACTAATATAGTCATCCATCTCCATCTGGTATGCTAGTAGTGTTTCCTGAGTTCCGCATTTGGTGATAAAACCAACTTTTTCGTTCAGTATAATATTTTGGTCATTTTGATCTAATTCTACTGGGTTTTTTATAACACTACGCATATGCATACAATTCCAATTTAATGATGGGGATGGTTTACTTTTGTACGAGCATGTATTTACTCGGTAATTATTTTGTTTTTATATGATGGAATATTATCAAATTTCAATCACTAAACGCGTGAATAAATGTAAGATAACATCATCATATTTCTTAATACTAAAAGACCAAAACAATTTTACAAAACTAGAGATTATGGGCGATAGACATGGATGTATAAGCCGGCCTAAGTTTAAATTATTGGAGTGTGTTGGATGATAAAGATTTAGTGATTGAAATGGTATAAGTTACAGTATGAAATTGTGTCAAAATATCATATTTTGTATCTCATTTTTATACATTATGAGATTTATATTAAAACTATTACTTCGGTTGTCTTTTTTTCTTTTTGAAAAAAATTATGCACATTCCATTATTCATCAAAATCATTACACATACCAAAAGTCACAAAGTTTAAAAATATTTTCTTGTCCTAAACAACACTTCCCAGTATTGTCCTGAACATTTTTAAATCGTCCCCCATTCCCAAACCCAGTTTGGGTTTTTTTTTTCCTTCTCTCTTCACCAATATTCCACTATGCACACTACATTTTTTAAGTTTGGCGAGAGTTGAGTTTCTAGGTGGTTTTTTGCTTTAATTTCTTAGATTCAAGGGATATTTATTTAGATATTTTGTGTATTTTAGTTGGTATGAAAATGTTTTTTTTTTTAGTTTGATGTGAATTACGACATTTTGTAATTGTTTTGCACTTTAGATTTGAATTTAGCGTAATAGATTGGAGATGATCTAAAGCAATCATTCTTTTACTTGGGAAATTAATTTTAAAAATCATTTCATACAAGCTCGATATGTAATGTTTAGTTAATACAATAAACTAAAATATGAAGCAAACTCTTTGGTTTTTTAAACGTTGCGTAGACAAGATTGTGAAACAGGAATTAGGCCCTATCCTTTTGAATTGAAAAAATTAACTTCTAATTTCTTCCAACTTCTGCATGTTTCTTCAAATTCTTTCCAGTTTCTTCCAACTCTTTCCAGTTTCTTTCAACAACTTAAAAATGTATTTATACACGATTAATTTAAAATAACATTATATATCCAAATTTATAAAATATCACCTCAAACACAGACAATGATGAATTTTTTCATACAAAATTAAAATTTTCTTACATATTACTTGGGTGATCATTATTTAATTGAGTAATTTTTAACACTTAAATTCTTCCAACATTTTCCAACTCTTTCTAGTCTTTTCCTACTGCTTTCACTTTCTTCCAACATCCAACTCTGAAATTCCAACAAAAAACAACGGGGTTTTAGTTGTTGGTGAGTAGAATATAATACTTTCGCATGAATAATTGGTATGATCTTTCCTCTGAAAGACTTTACTATACATTGTTATATATGAAGTTGACAAAGGGACTCTAAATGTTAATGTAGCAGCAGTACTCTAGGAAATTCACACACACCCACCCCCTCCCCTTCAAAAGAAATACAAATTCAATAACACAACTTTTGGAAGTTTTTTCTTCCATACCTGTTTTTCATAATCAACAACCACGATTACCACTGACGAGCCATAGTGTTTTTTTGTCAAGGATTAAAAAAACCGAGTTGGGCGGACTTAGGTGTTGCTATGTTCCCACCGTATATTATATAGCTTGGAGTTCCATATCTGCCAATCCTTCAATAGACCCAAATCCACATGCATTGTCTTCAACAATCCAATATCACACTTCTATCTGACATCCGAAGGTAACAAATGTGTGTACAAAACTATTAGAGTGGCCACTAAAACAGAAAGTTGTGTACATTATGGGGAAAAGGAATGCGGCGAGCAAGAAGAGAATAACAAAGATGTGAACTAGAGAAGATACTCCATAGCAAGCAGTCCCGTTAAGATTTCCTGGCCCGGGGCGCAAAAAGAAAAAGGGCTCTTACGTCAATTATTAAACATTTTAAATTTTTTTATTAATATTGAAGCTCAATAAATACAAAAGTAAATACTCCGGTATTTTCAATACAAATTAAAAATATACTCCCTTCATTCCAAAAAGAATGCCACATTACACAAAATGAAATGAAATGAAATTCCATGTTTTTCAAGTCAATTTATTTTAGAATTTGTATAGAAACAAGAAATAATAACTTACATATTTAAAAACTACATCAAAAGTTCTACAAAATAATAGGTGACAAGAACATTTTATTTTATAAAATAATCCATAAAAATGCACATACCAATAAAAAAAATTCTCATAATTTTTTGTTAGTAAAATGTGAAATTCCTTTTGGGACGGAGAGTGTACAATATAAGGTTGTGTTTGGTTGAGGGAAAATATTTTAGTAGAAGAATATTTTCCAAGAGAAACTTAGTTCCAAGAAAAACTAGTTTCCAATCATATTTTCTGTTGTTTGGTAGGAAAAGAAATGTATTTTTAAAAAAGTTTCAATTGTTAATATTTGAAAATTAATATTAGAAAAGCTAATTTGAAAAAATTTAACAATATTTTAATACCATATAGGGCGACACGGGGTGAATAGGGGGTGGGGGCGTGTGGAGGAGGTTCATGGGTGGGTGGCAAGTGACGAGCGACGATGGGTGGGGATAGGGGGTGACGGGTGGTAGGGGCAGGGTAGGGGGTGGGGTATGGGGCTGGAGGGGGTGGGGGATGGGGGCGTCCGCGAGGGACGAAGCAAATAGAGAATGAGAAAAATATCTGCCCTTAGGTGTCTTTCTTTTTTCCCCATCACTTTTCTGGGCTCCAAACATAGCCTAAGGATACAAAAGAGATGACATTTTTATGTTCAAGTGGAGTAGAAACTTAATGGAATACGTACATTTCTTCCGAGCTTTGACTGGCCATAACTCATAGCTGCATGGTGCCCTATGTTGAAGAGACTATAATCAATTATTTAGTGTGAGCAGCTGTAAATAACTCTTCCCACTTTTCGTGATCACTTCCTGGCCCCTCGCCCTGCATAATTTGACTTCCATTCAGAAAACTGGAATTCAAAAACTAGAATTCATTTGAAATCTTCGATTTCAATTCCAACATTCGAAATTCCATAATTTCAAATTCCAAATGTTGTTTGGGAAGTCATAGAATTCCAATTCTAGAATTTGAATTTTAAAGTCAGCAAAGACGGTAACGGAAACGGGTTTGAATTACAAGTTACTCCGTATAAATTAAAGGAAAAATAGATTTGAATTTGTAAATTACATGGGGATGGTGTGGATTTGTAGTTGGGTTAATTTTGAATTAGAAGAATTTGGTCCAAACCCAATTCCAAATTCTTTGAGTTCCCAAACAAGTAATTTGGATCAAATCCAGATTTAAAATCCAAATTCAAGTTCCCAAACACCCCATAGGGGAATTTAGAAAGAACCTTATGTAAAATAAAAAGATTATAAATCTACTCCCCCGCCCCAAGAATACAAGCCAAGTATATCCCCCAGTTGCCCCGCATCAATATGAAACTAGCCAGACAACCCAACTCATTCTATTTTGCTAATAAGTGATACATTTACTAAGAAACATACTGAGAAATATATGAAGACTTCAAGCAAGAGTCATGCATGTGTGAAATAGCAAACACTGCTCGTATGACAATTCCATTTTTAGGTCCATATGTTATAGATGAAACCATATAGTTCTCAATTATAACCTCTAGAGACGATATTTACCGGGATAGAGTTTATTTCATATATTTGACCCTCCGTGAAGTCTATGTCCAGGGCCTGTATGCAAGCTTCTGCAACCACTAGCCTACTTGCTTCTCCAACAATTTTATCCTCTGATTTTCAGTTGCAAACCATTGAAAGAAGTCCATTAATGAATTAGAGACGCAGAACAACAAATTGCCACAAAGATATGGATGGAAACAGTTTTAGAAATGAAAAATGTTTTAGAAAAAAAGAGTAAATTTCATAAATGGTCTCTTGTAACGGGTGGCGTGGTTTACAATATCTAATCCCTAATTCTAAGATATTATATTTGAGGTCCTAAATTTTTGAAAACTATTCCATAATCAGTCCGTTGGAGACTATATGTGGCAAAAAAGTATTTGGTCATACTTTACCCAATGGACCAATTATGCAATATTTTTCAAAAATTAGGACCACGAACGTAATATCTTAGAACTAGAGACTAAATTTGGAAAACCACCATTTATAAGAGACATTTTATAAAATTTACTCTTTTTAAAACATTTTGTTGATATGAACCAATTCACTTGTCTTACATTTCATGTTTTTTTCATTATATAAAATTGATATTCTAACTGAAAGTGTTGACCATCACAACTTTCACAAGTTTGCTATCCATACTGTTTAGGATCATGTTAGAGATGAGATACCTTGACCTATAAGGACTGCATGACGCTCCCCTGCTGTTGCCTGTAGAAGAGTGTTCAGATCATATGAAGTGTATGGTCCATCTGTCAATCTACCAGCTCTGTAACTCAAAGGAGAATGCTGATTTGGAATCCACCATTTTTTAACATATTATTTTCACTTTAATAGAAGGAACGTATATGAACAATCAATGACTAATGAAAAATATATGACCTGATTATAGTGAACGGGAGACCAGAGCTACAAACAAAATCTTCTCCCATCTTCTTATACTTGAGAACACCAAAAAGGTTCACAATGCTGCAGAACATAATGGAAAAAAAATCAAATGAGAACATTGTGATTCATTTGTGAACTAAAAAGGAATGTAATTTAAAACTAAAAATTATCTGGTTCCAACCCTAGCACAAATGAAAACCATCATTAATTATTCACCGAACATTTGCTTTAACCCTCGAAATGATGTCAATGAACTCAATTTATTTTTCCCTTGGAAAACAATCACAATTATTTTTCTATTTACATGGACAATGAAATGCAAACTAAAGACTTTTTACGGATAAAAAAGAATTGACATGTTATCCTACTAATACTTTTTACTGTTTACAAAGTGAGAAAAATGAATGGACCAATCTGCACCCAAGAGGAACAAAGGAAAGAAATTAGAGACACCAGAAAGCAGTTAAAACTTAAAGGTGGTTATTTGCCTATAGCACTTATCAGAGAAGAAGTTTCATTATTTTATAGAAGATAAGATGTTGCCAGAAAAGTCATGTTTTAAAACTCTTTGATGGACCCAGTTGCATATTATCATGATTTATAAGGGATAGCATGAGTTTAGTTATAATTTCTTAAGCCGTTTTAAAGAGTTTTAAAGAGTAAAGACAACGCTCCAAATAAAATATCATTCAAAGAAGTATCACCCAAGTACCTAACTTGCTCTTACTAAACCAAAATGAAAATGCAGAGCCATAGGCAGTTAAATTAGACCAATAAGAATAGTTATACCTCCAAGGTAAGTCATTGAACTTTGTAACACCTATTGATGACACAAGAACAATTCTCTTTAAAGACCGAGGCAATGCAGAAACAAGATTTCTCACACCCTCCCAATCTACAGCAACAATAAACATAATTAAAATTAATAGAATTGGGTAGAGATGCAAAACACAAAAGGTAAGACATGCGAAATCATAACCTCCTACTTTTATTGACATGACTTTTTTACTTAAAACTTTATTTTTTCTAAAGAACATTCAATGCTCATATAGAGAGATTTTGGGCCTAAACCCAATACGAATAGGAAACATAAACATTAAATGTAATGAGAATATGAAAATAATGCTAGTAAAACTACTGTTAATACATCACATAGCTACTACTTTCTATACTTTTAAACAAGAAAAAACAAGATCACAGTATAACATTTGACATGAGAAACACCAGTCAAATAGCAGTGTTTGATTAGGAGTTAGTTCTTAAAAAAGGGTACATCAAATGTTGTTTGTGTAATCAACATGAGCTATAGGCATTAACCACATATGCAATCAACTAAACTGCATGGGCATCCAATAAAATGTCATTTCCCAAAAGAGAGTAATCTTTCTCACCTACTCTTTTAGGTGTGTTGCCTCCATTCCACCTTCTTGAAGGAAAGGCTGTAGTTCCCGTACAACATATGACATGTGTTACATCCTACTAGTCATGTTAGAAGAAAGTGATCAGCCTCTAGAATACCATAGAAACCTTAGCCCTTTGAGAAGGATCTAGAAGCATTCCAAGAAACAGGATCCAATATATGAAGGAAATGAAAGAGATCCACCTATACAAAGCACAAACCTGAAACATGGATGGATCCAACTCCATGAAGTTCCGTGTGTCAACCTTCCATACCTAACAATATTATAGATTTTCTTGTTGTCATGAGAGCATTCCCATAAAAGAAAAGGAAAGATACATGTCTTTCATTTTTTGAGAGGAAAGAAAAGTTTCACCAATGGTCCAGATACCACCTTTAATTTGTCCTCATCATGCTTTCCAAACAGAGCACTTGCTTTCTCAGGATCTCGCAGTATGAGCCGCACTCTGATGCTTCGACTTAGCAATGATGCTACAACTAACTGTCCTGCATGGAGCACGATGAGCTCGATCAATAAAACCAAATCAAGCATACCCAGCTATGAAGCACCGGTGCGGGTGCGTCAACCGCTGTGGGTGCACGACTAGGCGCGGGTGCGAACTTTTTCAAAAAAAAGGGTGCGGGTGCGGCAAATTTATTTATACATTTTTTATTTGTATTATATATTCTTTGTAAGATACATGTATATATGTTCAAAATATTCACAAAATATAACAAGAGTCCGAATTCTAAATAAATCAAACACACAACATCCCACAAAATAGATAGAAACATAATACAACTCTAAAATTACCATTCAAAAAGAAAAAGAACGAAAAGTTGATAAGTACAAATGTACAATACTTTTGGTGGAAAAAAATGAGAAAGTTGAAGCGAAAAGTCTTACTCCGTAAAACTATGTAGGTTTCCAATCAAGTATCAAAAAAGAAGTATTAAAAAAAGAAAGTTTTATAAGTAGAGACTCGTTTCTAATCAAGTTCTTATTAAAACAAAGAGAAGAAAACAAAAAATTGAGAATCAGATGATGCCAGATCGGGCAAGCCACTTCGATGCCGGCATTTCTACAGTCCGGCACTTAAACAATTTAAACAGCAAGTCTACTGTGCCACACCCAAGGCGCACCCCCACCCCCCCTTCCCGCACCCAAGCACACGGCCACACCTGCACGGTGCTTTGTGCAGCTGTTTTTTGAAGCACCCGTGCTTCATAGATACCCAGTATATCCCCCTCATGAGGATCAGACGATAAACATGAGATTATGAGAACAAGAAAGCAACAAGTATAATTGAGAGTAGTAACATTGCCCCAGTGGCCGGTTTACTTGCATATAATTCATACTTATAAAAATAATCGCTGCATATGACACAAAAATGCAGGTGTTAGTCATACTTAGCACCACCTATGAGTCTATGACCTATAGTTTGTTCCAATTATAGCATATATTTTTTAACCAAACAGAACTTTATAAGATAATGAGCAGGTCCAAACAAAGCACAAGGAAAACAACAAGGAAAAACAACATCAAAATCAAGGGCACGCCCTCCTAAGAGAGAAAAAATAACAAAAGGAAGCCAAAAAACAGAGACTAAAGCCGAAGGGCCATCACTAGCAGGACAAGGCATAACACAACAGACAAACAAACTATGCATACCCACGTAAATTCTTCTTCCCCGATAAAAAGAAAGCCAACACTTGCTGGATACATGCATTACCACAATAATCTTTTAGAGAGATGATCATACCAGTGTGAGCATTATAATAATCAAGGAGTTCCCTAGAGTCCTCATAATCAGCATTAGATGGGAAAATACTGGGTGAAAGATTGACAGTGCAAGCCGCAAGTCCGCGGCAGGAGGGGTCGGATCAATTGCTCCAGCACGTACCTGAAAGGGAGGGGGAGAGACTGCAACAGGGGTACTGGACTCTGACGGGGGAAGAACAACAATGGAAAGAAGAATCGAATCCTCATATTTCAAAGCGTCAAATGAGTTTCCAAAAGGCACAATGGTACTGCAAGAAGTTGGGTCACCTTCTGGCGTGGAGTGACAACTTTGGGGGTTGGAGGCTGCGTAACCAAAGGTGTTTCATGCACAGATCCTCAGGAGTGGCAGCAGATGTGATGATGGGTATTTCTCACTTGTAACATCTTCAATACAAAGTAACAAATGTGCAGAGGATTCCCTTGGGTGTTGTTGAAGTTTGCACTTTGAAGTCAAAAACTAAAAGCCTATTCCTAAGTTAGTATATTAATTTTTGTTACAATTACAGCATTAATATTTAATATGGTGCTAAAAAGGAATGGTCCAAATTAACAATTTATGAATGTCTAGATTACATCTAACCCTGCATTATTTCATCCTCGTAGCCATCCCCAAAATATTATTATAGTTATTCGCCTCTCCCTCACCAAATCGACGCAGCTCTCCATCTATAACATCAATACACACATGGTTTTTTCGGTCTCCACTCTGATGGAAGAACTTGTTACAATTACTTGTCTGAAAATTCAAAAGCAGTAACAACCTAGTTTAGGGGAATTTACACATATAGGTAAATTGCAATTTCACTCAATTAAATTAGTTTTGTCAAACATGCATATTTTGTCTTTCATTTCATACACCTAGATACCTAGGGTTTTTGTTGGAAAATATTAGTCAAATAACAACACTCTCTTAAAGAATAAATATTGGAGGAACAAAAATGTGCAAAAATATAAAAGAGATCAACACACAATATTTTTACGTGGAAAACCCCTCTCAAGCAGGGAAAAAACCACGACTTTTTTGGGTTAAACTTTCTACTATAACATCAATTGAGTACAACATCACAAAGAGTAGCTCTACTTGGAAGGAAAAGTTAATAAAGAAATCAGCCTAAATAGGAGTAAAACATAGAGAAAGTACCAAACAAGAGCTTCATGTGTTTATCCCAAAATAAGAATTTGCACTGTGATAATGTGGCACTGTATATAGACATTTCACAATACTTTTCTTTGGTATTATTACTATTATATATAGGCAAGACTGACATTGTAAATGCATTTTAATTCCTATTTTGAGAATAAAAACATAGAACTCATACTTTGGTATCTTTGCTATGTTTTACTCCTAGTTTAGTCTTTTCCCCGAAGGTTGGATAAAAATCTTTCCCAAACCATAGTATCCCCGACTCACACTCTTACACATGCTCTTTTCCATCTTCCTCCACTGTCCCTTCTTTTTTCTTTCTTTTATTTTCCTCTCAACTACGAAAATAAAAAAAATTCCAACATAATTAATGTTTGGTTGATAGAGATATCCCAACAAATTCCTCACTCGACCTAATTTACCAAACATTTCAACCAACATATTCAATATTTGATAAATGGAGAGATATCTCAACAATTTTCAACCAAAATACCAAACACAAGACTGATCACATAACAGTTTCAAATAGGTACATAAATAGTGAGGTCTGGAAGGCGGTAGAGTACATACCAACACCACCTGAGCCACCAACTACCAGAACGAGTTTGGACGAAGATGGAAATGTTGAAGGTGACGAAGTAGCGTTCTCACACTCTCCAGAAAGACGAGACGACGGCGAATTTGATATTTTTCCGACAGAATTCGAATTGGAAGCGATCTTAAACGAAACGGACAAACATCCAGAAGAGGAAGAATTGAGCGAGAAAAGAGGTAAAAATGATCTTGCAGGGGGGTTTAGAACGGAGAGCGGCAGAGCGAGAGACACCGTGGAACTCATGAAAGTCTGGATATTTTATCTTTCAGGCAAAGGCAAGTTTATTAGTCTGTGGAAGAAAATCCGGGAGTTGTAGGCTTGCCGGCAATATTGTGTGAAAATGGGAAGGGGCCTGGATCTCGAGTATAGATACATTTTCTTTGTAATTCCTTTCTCCACGGTATCTTCTCAAATACCAATCACTAGACTTGATCGACTTTATTTTTAATTTAATTTAATCTTTTAAAAGAGTAAAATTTAAAAATAAAATTTATATAGTAATAAACTACATGAAAAGTTCTACTCCGTACAAAATTAGACGTGACAAAACTATATTATTTTACAAAATAACTATTAAAAATGAGCAAAAAAGTGAGCGAAGTTTGACCTTGTAAATAGTGTCTGTAAATAGTGTCTATGGAGATCTATGGTGCATAGATGGAGTATGTTGCTTTTGGCTTTAGATGGAATATTTTGATAACATTTTATGCAACAATGCTAGTGGCTACAAGAAATTTATCTCAAATTCTACTGCAAAGAGATGTATCGATATTTAAATATTTTCAAGATTGGCAATCACATAAAATACTAGTATAATTAAAAGCATTTGCACTAACATTTTCCACGATTCACACTAGCATAAAATGTTAGTGTAATAAAAAACATTTACAATGAAATTTTTAATCATTGTATACCATTACACTAACATTATAGTAGCATAAAATGTACTTGTATGCTTTTTGGGTACAAAGTGAGGTATAAATTTTGAGGTACAAATAGTTTCATTTTATTTTATGCAATGTTTAGTAGGAATTTTGTTTAGTATTCTATTCAAATGTGAAGTTTCAGCCTTTTTTCATGTTCGAGTGTGCAATTGGTTAGGAGTTGATAGTTGTTTATTGTCACATGAACTGCATTTAGAGTTTTGTATAATATTTTATATGGGCAAATATTTCATTTAAAAAATAGGAGATGAATAATGTTAGATGGTGAAACATATGAAGGGTGTTTATAGTGTATTTGTATTGTTTCTTTTGATTTTTTCCATCATCTCCGATGGAGCCAAAATTTCACCATTTTTTGGCTTTGGGATGTGATGGAATAAATCAAAATGGATCTCTAACTGTCTGCGCTTCTTTAATTAATGAAGTAGCAGATAGTCAAGCAATGCAACTTTCGACGTTGAGCCGGGGGTCTCTTTGGAAACAGCCTCTCTACTTTCGAGTAGGGGTAAAGTCTGCGTACACACACCCTCCCCAGACCCTACTCTTGTGGGATTTAACTGGGTTGTTGTTGTTGTGTTGTATTGTTTCTTTTGATATTTTGTGTTTAATAGTGAATATTAGGAAGTAAATTTAGTTACATGATATACTTGGAAAGTTCAATATTAGATTTTAATAATGAAAATATTAGAGTTAGTTGATCACCCTCAAGTGAGTGCATGGTTGATAAAGTGTATAGTTGTGATTTTTTTAAAAACTTGAAACACGTAGGAGTGGTGTTTTGATTCAAAGATGAAGGTTGTGAGATTGGAATATTGAGGAATGTTTTGGGCGGCAAACATTTTTACTTTTCTTAAATATGCCACAAAATCAAAACAGAGAATATAAAATAGGACGGAGGGAGTATATTTTTTTTTTTACCAAAAGACTCATTTTGAAACGTGGCGGGTGTGTTGTAAATGGATTTCTATTCATAATTTAAAGTCATAGATTTTTATTTATATTTTTAATATGTCCATGGATTATGCATAAAGCAATGTATTTTCTATTTATATCATAATGTCAATGGCTTTCTTGTGGATGACATTTGTTTTGTTTTTTTATTGAAAACCTGTGAATGCCTTTTATTGATATATAGAAATCTATAGATTCTTATATAGATTTTGTGATATTAAAAATAAAAACATATACTCACAATAATAAAACAAAAAAAGGAAACCATCTTAATGAGTATATCATCTATCAAATGAAAACAATAAAACTATTTCTTTCTAGCAAGACAAATAATTTAGAAGGTTAATTTAATAGAGTTGTCTATAAAAGTACTCCCTCCTACCCGAAATATTTGCAACGTTTGCTTTTTCGGCGTTGCGGGAACTTTTGTTTATTTCTACGTTTTCATTGGTTATTTGATAAAATAAAATATTCTTGACACCTCTTATTTCAAAGAACTTTTCATGTAGTTTTTTGATATGTAAATTTTATTTTTTATTTCTATACCAATATGTAAATAAAATTAATTGGAAAAATTTGATATTTTGCCTCGGGAATACAAGTGTGGCAAATATTTAGGGACGGAGGGAGTATATTATTGGCATTTTATAGAGTTGCCTATAAACTTTACAAGAAACAAGTGTCAGTTTCTAGCCTTTCTTCTATTTGAAAATCTTCTAGCCTTTTGTATTGTAGATCTAGCTTCTTATTTGATGTCTATTTTCTCTAGAACTTTTTTGTTCTATTTTTTAAATAATATTAATTAAAAAACTTTATATTTAAAACAAAATTAAAAAAAGAATAGAACAAAAAAATAAGAAAATTAAGAAAAGAATAGAACAAAAAAATAAGAAAGAGTACGATTAAAGAAACAAAAATTCAGAAAGAAATGATTTAGATTACAAAAAATGTTTTGAAAATGATTTCAAAACTAATTAGAAAAAATTAGGATTTAAAAAATATTGTAGCATTATGCAAAAAAAGTGTTTAGATTTTAATACTCAAAAAAATTGTTTGAGACTCTAAATACTTACTAAAATCATTAGAAAAGTCTTGCATTATGATCTTAGACTAGAAAAAAGAAATAAATAATACTCCCTTCATCCCATTAAACACTTCCCTTCTTAAAAAAAAGCGCATCCTTAACATGAATAATCGTGATGTTATTTTCTAATTTTGTTCTTATTTTCTAATAGAGTAGCATTACATGTGTAGGATGGAAATCAAAATTACTAATTTTAGAGGCGCTTTTTTTTAAACAGGAAGGATTTTAAGAGACGGAGGGAGTACAAGCTAAGGTTGGTAATGAATTAGAACTTTTTCAAATAAGGTTTTGAATTTAATTTTAAAAATTAGGAATAAAATATGAGCAGCACGATACGAAAAGTTTTTTTTAGATTTTATTAGTATTTCAAAAACATGTTTTACACCTGAATTTTCTTAATTTAACTAATTTTATGTTTTAAAAAATCAAAATACACTACTTCAACGCTTACCGAAGAAGAAAATGCTTGACAATGATGAAGAAAAAGTATATATATAGAGTTTGATGGCCAAAGTGTTGCACTGAAAATAGTGAAAAATCAGAGAAGAAAGATATGAGACGGAGGGAGTATTATATGATATCCTAGACAAAAAAAAGTGTGGAATAATGCGATGAAGCGCATAGGAGTATCTTACATATTTCATGGGAGTGGGGTACATTCTAATATAGTACGTGAAAGTGAGATACAATAAAGTGCGTGAAAGTGAGATACAATAAAGTGCATAAATTTTGAAGATCACAAAGACAAAAGTTAAGTAAATAATGGGCCTGTTTGGGAATAGCGTTAGCGATTAGCGTTAGCGTTTTGAAAAAGCTATCTACGGGCAGCGTTTAGCGTTAGCGTTTTCAAAGTGATCCACACCGTTGAAATTTTATCCAAAACGCTAACGCTAATCTCTAACGCTATTCCCAAACAGACCCAATATTGAAGTCTAGTAAATGAATACACTCAAAACACAGTATACTGTCTTAAAGTCAAGTTTTTTGTCTTTGGCAGGAAAGCGTTCTTGCTCTTCACACAACCAACAATCAACCAAAATTGGTCCTTGAGTTCATGCATTTTATCACCTGCCATATCATTATGGTGCATACTTTAATCTATGTTTTCCTATTACTCTATAGCACAAATCATATTGTACCTACATGCACAAGTAACCACCTAGGTAAATTAGTGAGGGAAAAATGATACCATCTGCGCAAATGTAATAGATGAGCTTCTCCACAAGTATAATTCATTCACAAATAGCATTCCAATTGTAGTAAGATTGGAATTTGTCAAGATTGTTAACAAAAACATTACTAAAACAAAAACAAAACACTAAATCAAATATATCGTAGTGTTTGAAATGCATTGGGACATTCATTTTACAAAATCTGCCAATTAAAAGCAAAAATGAAAAACATATGAATTGTCAAGAGAGTCAACTCATTAACACAAAGTGAATGCAGTCTGTGTGTGGTAACCATAACAAAAAGTTATAGGGTATAAAAATCACATCTCATGAACAAAATAGTCCACACCAGGAAGAGCAGAAAAATGATTGTTGAATGCAAAAGACTTTTCTAGGATTAGGAATGTGAAACAACAAAATGCAAAGAAATGAATTCACAACAGAGGCGGGGATCAAAATCCACGACCGTTCAAAATTAATGAAAACATGTTAAATTCAGACGGCATGAGTTCTGGCCCATCCGAAACTACAATAAATCAACTCATCAACATAATTTTCAAGAAAAAAGATCATATTCCAATTAAAAGACATGCTCCCAATTTTGTAAAAAAACACACTATTCATACAATATCAAGAAATTCTGGAATTTAGAAAATGAGCGAACGCGGTATGTAACATGTGTAGGAGGATGTTTAGATAGCGTAGAGATACATTGCCATGTTTCGTGGATGTGTGCAAAATTTCACACACAATGGATGATATTGTGCTAAAAATGTATTACAAACAGCTTCAATACAAACATTTGCAAAAAAAAAAACAAGATCAAAACAAAAATCTACTGATTACAAAAACTACAAACAATAAAGAAAAAAGGTTAAAAATTTAGCATGTAGCAGGCAATCATAATCTTCAAAATCGAAAGAAAGTACAACTGGATGATAAAGATTTGAGCCCCAAAATATATGGATAACTGAAATTCTTGATTCAAAATGTATTTGTACCCTACATTACCATGAATTTATATCTATGATGCGAAATTGAAATGTGTACTCGTATGATTCAACACAAAATAAGTAAAAATTCGTGATGCAAAGTTGGAAAATCCAAGAATGAATGGAAAAAAAGGAATTTGTGAATCAAAAAATCAAACCCACTTGCCACTTTCTGCAGCAACAAACAAAACGAAAAAAAACCCACTTGCCGAATAAA